GTTAGTTCTTTTTTGTTTAGTATGACATACTAATAGTTCATTTTAAATTTTAGTTAAGATTTACGCCCCCCCCCCCCACCCCACACACACACTCTGCTGTGAAGATAGATCATGCTACAAAGTAGCCTGGGAAAAAAGTAGCAGAAGTATTCAGAATTAGGAAAGAAAGTAACAAACAGAAAAGGGAATTAGCAAGAGTTAAAAGTCAAATAGTTGAGGGTGAAACCCCACAGCAACTAATTCGGCTCTGTATTTCCAGAACTCCTGCTTCTTCCACAGTTATTCCTGAACACTGAAGTTAACGTGCAATTATTTGGATGTGTGATTAATTAAAAATTACTATTATGCAGAGGAAAACTAATTTCATAAAACAAAAACTGTAATTTCTGAATAATCAGTGAGGCTCGTTTGAATTGCTTCTGTATTATGCAATCATGTAATCAAAAGTACATTTCCTTTTTAATTAAATTTATTCTTATTTAAATCTGTATAATTGCTCACTCATCAAATTAGCTTATTTTAACAGTGACAAATGCTTAGTAAGCCACTGAAGTCTTCAGGGCTCACAAATCATAGGCCTCCTACACTAAACAAAAGATAACTGAAATGAGTGTATTTAACTTTCATCCTTCAGCTGGATAAGACAATAGAGGATAAAAGCTACAGTTTAGCTGGCACATTCCCTCATTGGAGTCTTTTTTTCCCTAAACAAAAGCAGAATAATTGCCTAGATCAACTAGATATAAGAATATGTAGTGACAAATAGTTTAAAAGTAAGGGCTAGATACTGAAAGTGTTACACAACAGGCTCATATCTATAATAACAAAAATTAGGCAGCCCAGTCCAATATCAGGCTCCTATGCAAAGAAAAACATGAAGTTCCCATAGGGCCTACAGGAAATTTGCACCCCTTTGAAGGGCTGCTCTGAAAAGTCACTCTAAAAATGCATGAATGGAGGTTTGTCTTTCAAAGACTCCAGGTCAAATTTAGAAGTAAATATATATATATTTTTCTAACTGCCAACCCTGTAAACTCATCTTTGGTTCTTAGTTTTCTTTGTGGTTTATGCATTTGTAAGCAGGGTCTGAATGAGCTCTCCCCTGACATCTAGTGATGAGCTGGAGAAGAGGACTCTAGGAGCGGACCTTGTTTGCATGGACTCATCCACTCATAGAATCATAGAATAGAATCATAGAATAG